AAAATTGTTATGCATTTACAAGAGTTCCTTAGTTTATGATAATGTTGATTGCGATTTCAGAAACAGTAGTTTGTGTACCACGTAGTATAAAAGCACAATCCCGGACTCCAATGCTTGTTAGTCTCGGCTAACAATTTACTTGGCATCCAGGAATGTATTGCTTATACTACTAGATACACAATATACTATTTTTTCGCGATTTTTACTATGCGTTTCCATGGCGATTAGTCTTATCTATCAATTTTTGAGAATTTAGTTCGTTTACAACACGTCTTAATAGAGTCTTTTTTTCCTTATGTGCTTGATTAACTAGGGCTTCGTCCTCGTTAGTGCAAATTCATGAAAAAAAGTATTACGTTTAAAACTAGTTGTACAAATAACTATTTTAATTGATATTCAATTATATTACCAAAGTTTTTTTCTAATCTGTACTTCTTTTCAGGCTGGTTTTTGGATTTGGTGTTTGATACATATTTTCCAATTGCAGTTCCCACAGACTTCTTCAAATTACAGAATTTATTATATATTCGTCCTCGTTTATTCGAACGATAGTATTCCTAAAATAAAACATGAGGGTGAAAAAATATAAAACTTTAAATTTCATCTACCTACCAGTCTCTCAGTTGGAAATCTTTCCAAAATTTCTCGTTCCAATCTGTAACTTCCTGCAAGGGTCATCGCTATGCCTTTATCTTCATGAAATTGTGCGACTAAAGTTATTAATATTGTACGCTGTTCTTCTTGTAGTTTCGAAAACTTATTATAAAAGTCAGTAAGCATAACACCTTTAGTTGTTTCATTTAATATAGTCGATAAAGGTATATTTGGTTGACTGTCCGGTTGTTCTTTGCAGTAGGGTGTTACACGCGAGTCGTGAGCGGGTGATGACGCCCTGGAGGAACTACACGATGAAGTTGGGGATAATGGTGAAGTTAGTGTTGAAGTATTTCCACTATAAAGTAATGGTGCTCCCATGGACTGTCTCCACTGTTCTAAATTGTGTTCGAAAACAATTTGTATTCCAATTTCGAAATCTTTCAAAAGGCGTTCAAGGTGATGAGATTTAATAACCTTCAACACATCGACAAATACTTTTTGTTCTAAAACAAATAAAACATTTATGAGTTTTATTAAAAGATGGATTCAAAAGGACTTACGAACAAAATGCTCCAAAAGAAATTCTTGTTTCCATTCCTTCAACAATTTTGTTAAATCCTGTATGGGTTGATCTTCGCAACCAGATATGTCCAGTATCGTTTCACCATCAGGAGACCCCAAATTGTAATTACTCTCTCTACCTTCATTGTTTACACTTACAGGTAAGTTTTGAATGGAATTAAAAATATTTCCGTAATCCACAGCCACATAGTCATTTGTATACGGCGAATAAGGGTCGCGATTACAAGAGTTGGATTGATCCATTGATAGAAACCGTTTGTAAATCGTTCAACTGTATCTGTAGGTATAGTCTAAGTAGGTACGTGTACAATGTTACTGCGGAAGTAAGTATACGATGTTTTGTAAAAGATGCATAAAATGGTGGTTATATCTAAATTTTTCAAAAATGTTTTCTCAATATTTACAGTGTGAAATTAAGAATAATATGCTGTTATGCTTTATTTTAAGAATTTATGAATTACGGAGCTAGTTTGTAATATTCTTTCAAACGAATCATAGCTTTACCTTTTGCTGTCTTTATCAGAGTCATAGGAGGACCAACAATGTCTTCTATAGAAATTATGGAGAATGGTCCTAATGCATTTGGATTAACTTCATATGCAATCAAGTTTGGTACGTAGCTTACAGATTGTAGGTTTTGAACAAAAAAGTATACGCCTTGATTTTTTAATACTATAATTTCCAATATTATGTTAAATATTATATCATCTACAAATAAAGCAATGTAATTGTTGCGTTTATAATCAACTCCCTCATAATTCAATTTGTGATATAATTCGACATCACCTTCTTCAACATTAATTTTTTCACGTATAATGTTTTTGTAGTTACTTTCTACTTTATGTTTATCTTCTACCGTGTATTTAGTTATTACATCTGTACGTACCATTATTTGATATGCAAATTTTAATTCGTACTTTTTCGCTAAACTCATACAAATATTTTTTCTGGAAGTTATACAGTGCGAGTATATTTTAAATTGTCTGTGTTTCGATTCATACTTAAAGCACCAAAGCTTCCTCAGGGGTCCTACTTGACGAAGTATTTTTGGATAGTGTGATAAATTATGAAATTTTGGTTTCAAAGTATCGTTAAATAGCAATATATAGTCATCATTGTGTTTTTTTATTTTATATTCTAGTAAATTAATGCTCATTTCAGATATTTCGGAAGACAGCAATATATCGATAATTTCTACTAAATTTAAAGTAAAATTCCAAACTGGATCATCTGAAGGAATGAGATCGCCTACCATAAGAGGAAAATATTGTACAAACGTCATAGTTTGTCTTGCTGACATTTTCAGTTTCTTTTTCAAAATGTGATGCTGTTCAATTTTTCCGGATTTATTGTCTATTTCTATTGGCCCGTACTCAAAATTTTGTTTTCTGGAGTTAAGCGTTGCAAGGTCAAAATATTTCATCGTAGTAATGAAGTGAGCAATAACTTGACATAAGCTGTAATGGCACACACCTTCAAAGAGATCATGCATGATATCAACATAGTAATTTTCTACGACATGAAATGATGGTATTTTGTTTAAAACGGATCTCTTCACAATTCCACTTTCTTCCAGATTTAAAAGATCGGTTTCGTAATTATCTCTCGTCCTATCTACATCACTTGGTTGAGTACTTAATTTTTGTGTATCTGTTTTCGGAGCTTTACAAAACCTACAAAAATATTTGCTCGAAAATGATTTGCTAAATCCAAGAAATGAGTTCAAGCCCAAGTTATCTCCAACTACTACTCCTAGAATAAAATGAACTCGTTCACCTAAAATTTCTATTCCATTAATTTCTAAGTCTATCAATTCTTCTATTAACGCTTCAAAGCATCTTTCGTTTCCAAATGTTTTTAAGTCATTGGATTTTACGACTGCTGCATAAAATATGTTCTCTAATTTGGATTCTTCTATCGGCAAACAAGGAAAAGAATAGTATACGTTACAAATTGAGTGTTTGGAGGAATTAGATCCAAGAGGATTGTTAATTTCTAAGTCATCAATATAGAGCAGATATGGGATAAGGATTTTATTAGGATACATTTGAGATTTTTTATTCCATAAATCACCCTGCACAAAGTTAATAAAATTTTTCGTATGTTTTAAAAATGTTATACGCTCTAAGGTAGGCCTAAGTATCCCTTTTTTTTCAAAAAAATTTTTAAACTGAAATTTTAACGGCATTAAAATGTTTTTAACAGTTTTTTGGTCGTTTGTCAATTTACCGCTACGATGTATTGGTTGTAGTGTATTATCTATTGTATTCTCTCTAATTTCATCCGTATAACCTTCATTTCTCAAAAAATTGGACAACAAATAGTCTGTTTTAAATCTATTAAATGGATTTCTACAATCTGATACTAAGCCACAAAATTCATTATATAAATCGGTTTGTTGCTGAAATGCACAGTTAGCAAATGATGCAAATGTATCTAAAAGGGGTTCAATTAAACATGTATTGGCATATTCTTGAATTTTAAAAACATCTTTTCTAGTAAAATTATTATTATTGTGAAGTGTAAGTATAAAATTAATAACATGTTGAATTAAGGATTTTTTATTCAATTTAAATTTATCTTGCTTGTCGGTTTTTTCATTATCGGGAAAAGAATTCCTGCTAGGAGGAGACGATGTATACTCGTTACTGTATACTGCCACACCTTGGGCGCTGTTTTCGTCTGGTAACAATAAATTTATTTCGGAAAAAGAATGCCTGCTAAGGGGAGGTGATGTATAATCGTTGGCTATTGCTAAATCTTGGGTGTTGTTTTCATCTGGGTATAATAGATTTAAATTTTGTTTGTTCATAAGTTTGTCTTCTAATTCTGGGTTTAAATGCTTTCTATTCATATGCTTTTTAAAGCTACTTAAATTTTGAAAAATTTGACCACAGTTGTTTTCAAAACACCGAAACACTGAATTTGTAGTAAGTTCATGATTTCGTTTAAAATGAAATACAAGTAGCTTTAAGGTAGTAAAGCTTTTTTTACAAATAAAGCATAACATTGTTATTACCTACTATATATATAAAAAAAGAATATTGAACTATTTTTTCTTAATGATTTTAGTCGTGAAGAATTCCAACAAGCAATGATGTGACACAGCCCCAGCCCAGACTGCAAAGGATGTCGGGTGTAAAAAATATAGATTTTTTTATTAAATATGCACTTACCTACTTTTATTTCAAATATTTCACTATAAAACTGCACTAACGCTTTGATTGCACGGTGGTTAATAGAATTGTGGGCTTCGACTTGATGTTTTCCCCTCTTCTGGGGATAAAATGTGTCTATCATTTAAAATTGTTCGTTGAGACAACTATTGGTTTGATTGGTTGAGTGTACGTACGTAAAAATAATACTTATACGGTGTTATTAAATTACGCATAGTTGCATTATTAGAGCGAATGATGTTATTAGCAGAAATACGTTGTAACGATAAACCAAGTTCTTTAATGTTGTGTAGCTATTCAATGATCTATGCTGATTCTTCATTGTGATAATGAACTACGAAACATTGCATTAAGGAAGGCAGTATCACTTAATGTCTTATTACATTGTTACAACGAAACGTTTTCATAAAACTTGTTGGTGAAGAACAATAAACGTATTAATCTATTCAATGAAATTGTTAATTGCGCTAACGTGAAGTTCGATCTTGCAATAATTTCTATACATTGACTGATGTAAAATGTGTTGTTGGTCCAACCAATACTAATTAATTCTCGCAACAAACGTTGTAATGGATTAACTAACAACGTATCTTTATATCAATGAAGAAAATTGTTGTTTCAATGTAATTTCAGTTAATAAATGCCAATGGTTAATATTACAAACGAAATTTTTCTCAGTGTAGTTATATTTACCTTGATGAAAACATTAAGGACACAAGTACCCATACAAAGAGCACCTAAGATTATCAAACTTTACGTGCCTCGTTCCTTGTATGGTTAGGTACTTAACTTGACTAATTGTGTTCTTGCTTTAAAATATATCTGTTACAAATTATTCATTAATACGTGCATAATTCTTGCAGGATTTCGTCTGAAAGGTTTCATTACCTTGCTGATCAAATTAATCAACTTTTCTTACATGAAAGGCCAGAAGTATACTATGTGCCCTATGTAAATAATGCAGGAAAACCAAAAGCAGCAAGAGGGAAACTATTTAATGTGTATTTATACCAACGCCAACTATTAAAAAAATTTGGTTTGCTGGCAAAAAAAGAAAATTTAACTACTTCAGGTATGTAACTAATCCAAAATCATTGGATACGTTGATTTATGTTATTTAAAAGTTGTTTATTATACCAGTTATGAAGTAACTGATTTTGTTTGATGAGTAATTTTATTCTCAAAAAATGCAGAATAAACAAAACAGCATTTCATGAAATATGTATACATTTTTTTTTAATTTTGACAGGCAGGTAATCACAAAAATTTTTAAACGTAATTAGTAGTACTTGCATACAACGGTTCTACCTAATAAAATTTTGTAACTACCTATGTAGTTATTTAAAATAATAAAACGTTAATAATTAGCAATTTAACTTTAATAATTAGTAATTTAACTTCAATTTGTTCAACAGAAGCTGCTCCCGAAAATACCGATGAACAAACCGAAGATATTCTACTATGGCTTAAAAATAATACTGAACCTAAGAATCAGGTACTAGATTATTGGAAACTCACAACTAAAGAGAGAGCCAATCGAATGGTCTCCATTGACCAATATTTTAAGCAATACCCAATATTGAGAAGTCCTTTGTCGTATCATTTCGTAAGTTACTTATATATATTGATATTTCTTCCAATAGTTCTTTTCAGTTTGAAATTGATTTCGACAACACGTACCCCAATAAAGAAACAGTCTTTTATGTAAAATGGCCAATGGTTGCGAAAAAAATTATTACATTTGCTAAACAAAAAAAGGACGCTTATATAAAATCTTTGCTGGATGACTATAAAGCTATCCAATCTGATGGTATGAATATTTCAAATACATTCAATCTTTATAGTAATTGTTTCTAGATTTGGACGAAATTTTCGCGTTGCGTGTACTGCCCCTGCTGTTTAATACGGTGAACATTAAAACCAAAAAAGTGGGTTTGCATTGGCGACCATCTAAAATCGAATCACTGAACGGATTTATAATTTTTGTTAAAGAGAGTAGCGATGTTCAAAGTGTGCTTGAGGAAAGGCAGCGTAAATTAGCATCATTTAAGCTAACTACGCAACCTGTCCCCGTGGTGGTATGTAAGCAAATAGATTCCATCGAAAGTTGTTATGTGAGCATTAACACAGAATTGTTGAAAGTTGATACCTTATTGAAAGCTGTAGATATCACATTTAAGGCATGTCATGTTCTAAATGCAGAATACTCTAAAGAATGTGATGCGGCGTGGACTTTCTTACAAAAATATATATACGACATTCATACAAAATTTGATAGGAATTACATTTCAGTGAATGCATTGATGTCTGATTTAGGTAATGCGTAATGCTTTGGTTCATATCGGCTTTAACGTCTTATTTAGGAACCTAAGTTACGTACTACTAACAATTTTTGTTCTTATAGGAAGTAAAAATGTTTATTTGTTTTGTATGTCAAAAATCTTGTAAATCCACAAAAATATTATTTTTTCATTACAAAATTGAACACGAATTGAAAAAATGTTCAACATTTTTTTGTAAGCAAAGTAATTGCCATAGACAATTTAGCAGCATCAACTCTTTGTACAAACACCTCAAAACTCACGGGGTTTCAAAATTATCGCCTCCATCACAAAACATTGTAACACCCATAAATATTACAGTAGATGCAAGTACAGTCACTAAGGAAAATTGCACTAGGTACGACAGTAGTATAGATGATTCTTCTAGCAATGATATTGACCCAGTCACATTTCGTAATACCAATACTGAAGAAAATAATGAAGAAGAAAATACAAGTGCTCAGGATATCATTGAACATCTAAAAAACGAAATTGTAAAATATATTTTGGAAATGTACTCAAACTCCTTAATTCCAAGATCATTTGTACAGTTTGTGGTTCATAAAACAGAATCTTTGTTTATATCAATATTAGAATTTTTGGAGTTAAACTACTTTTCAAAGATACAAGATGATACCTGTAATATAATATATATAATATAATATGGAAATGAATACCGAATACAAAAGGTTTAAATATTTTAGTCGATCATCAGCATTTATTGAGCCATCAGATCATGTTATTGGGCACTCGTTGGTTTTACTTGAGAAAAATGGCGACAACGTTTTATTGCCCCATGAAAACGTATCCAAAGTATTTAGTATGGCAAAAATGTTTAAAAACATTTTGGAATTACCAAGCGTATTGCAAGATACTAAACATTATTTAACGAAATTGCAAAATTCTAAGGTGTTCAGCAACTTTACCCAAGGCAAACATTGGAAGTCGAAATTAACTGATAAATTTACTCTTCCGATATTCTTATACTATGATGACTACGAATTGGGGAATGCGTTAGGTTCTCGGGCTGGAACAAATAAATTGGGTGCAGTATATTGCACTATACCTTGTTTACCTCAGTACTTTTACTCCTTGAAAAGTATATTTTTGGTGTCTTTATTTTATACCAATGACAAAAGGTTAGGCTATAAACATATTTTTAAGCCAATTGTTGATGAACTAAACAGTTTAGAATCCGAGGGCATAGTTGTTAATTATGGAAATAAAGAAGAAAAGGTATATTTCCAACTAGCATTGTTATTGGGTGATAATCTTGCGTTGCACACAATGTTAGGTTTTACGGAAAGCTTTTCAGCGACCTATAGATGTAGATTTTGTAAAATACCAAAAAACGTTTCTTATACTGCTTGTTGTAGTGACGATACAATTAAAAGAACTATTCAAAATTATGAATCAGATTTACAGCTTAATGACTTATCGCAAACTGGTATAAAAGAAAATAGTATTTGGAATGACATAAAAAACTTTCACGTAGTAGAAAATTTTGCAGTAGACATAATGCATGACCTTTTAGAAGGAGTCTGCATGTATGACATGACTATAATTCTAAATAAGTTAATTTTAGAATATCAACTATTTTCCTTAACAACATTAAACAATAGAATATTAGGTTTCAATACATTTGGCGCCGAAACGGCCAATAAACCTCCCGTAATTACACTCGAAATGTTAAAAGGCAAATTAAAGTTTTCAGCAGCAGAAATGCTTTTCCTATCAAGATATTTGGGTGTACTTATAGGAGATTTTATACCAACCAATTTAGATTTACCGATCTGGGATTTATGGATTACACTAAAAGCAATATTGGACATAACATTATCTCCTAGCGTTCAATTTAATGAAAACATACTTTTATTTCATACTGTCCGGTAGATGTTCGATTACACTATCATTTTGAGTCCGGTAGGTGAGTTATTACAGCATCAGAGCCGGTAAGTGTCGCTAAGCAACACTTACCGGACTGTTATTTGTATACATCAAATTTGACATCTTCACACAATTAATTAAAAACCCCAACATAAATTTGGCTGTAATTCTTTATTTCAAACATTAACATTGATTGTAATGAAACAATTTGTATTGCCCTCAACACTACGCCTGGGTTATTACTGGATGTCGAGTTAGTAATATTTGATTCCTTCTGGTGTAGAATTTCAATGAAATTTTCGCCGCCTTGTATCAGTTGTATCATACGGGCAATCTTAACTTTTCCTTCTACCGAGCCTTCGATGTATTTTTCTGCCGTCGATGAGATTTTCCATGCTCCATGACGCTTTAACACCGAAACCCAGGCAAAAAAATCTCAATTCAAAAACTTACTGCGTCCAAAAAGTATGCCAACATGACTTTTTCCTCTACTTGTTTCGCCCCATGTTCGTTCCTCAATTGGCAAAACACTTAGTACTCTTTTTCATACCTTGCGGCCGACTTCTTAGGAACCAACTTTTCGGTTGCTTCATGAGATTTCGACAGGATTGTATCGGGAACAGTGGAACATCCCACAACGTTTATAACGTCAATTTTTCAGTGAAAAAAATTCAATTGTCAACAAACTACAAACTATAGCAACGGCCGTTGCCACAGAAACAAGGTAATGCGATTTTTACAATATGATGAAATTTTGTAATCTTTGAAATGAAATAATGATACAAAACAGACTTACAGTATGAAATAAAATACGTTACGATATACGTCCGGTAGTACTTGTAACAGTACTCGTTTAAGACATTCTTGACTCGGCTCCTGACGTCGCCTCGTCCATAATGTCTAACTCGTACTGTTACAAGTAACCTACCGGACTTATAACGTAAATAACTATTAAAGTCGTTAATTGAAGAGCACCACAATTTATGCAAACGTCTTCAGATACGTTTACTACCAAAATTTCATCACATGGTCCATTACCCAAATATATTGGCCATGTCCGGTCCCTTAATTCATCTCTGGAGTATGAGATATGAACAAAAACATCGAATTTCAAAACTAACTTCAAATATCTCTGGATCATATAAAAATATGCTTCACACATTAACTATTAAAACTCAACTAAAATTTTATTATGACATAATAACATTTGATAAAAGTAAATTACTTATTAATAATTTTGGTTCTAAACTACCAGTTGATGATGAAACTTACAAAATGTATTTTCTGAAAATGCCACGCAATATATTTACTGTAAAAAGGATAGAAATTTTAGGCACTCTTTACAAACCTGAAATGGTACTTGTTTTGAAAGTACACGGGAATTTACCTGAATTTGGTATACTACGAAATATTTTTGTGATGGAGGACGTTGTTTATTTTCTAGTTTCTGCAACTTTAACATTAAATTTTAACGAAAAATATCAAGCATACGAAATTAAAGATAATGATCAGCTTGTTGTAATTAATTATAATGACTTATGTGACAACTTTCCTCTCGTGAAATGCTTAAAAGATGATGTATTGTTTGTTATTTTGAAACATGTATTGTAAATTATTATTTGTTATTTTAAAACATATGTATTGTAAATATGCTTTTTATTTTTTAAATAAATCAAATAAGTATTTATTTTTTGATAATTTTTACTACAATTAAGTAGCACCGTTAAATAAGATTGCAATAAGCAGTCAAATGTTTTGGAAATATTTTTGTAAGTTATTGCAGTGAAATTCATAAGACACTTTAATATCTATTGAAATCTAACAGTAAATTTTTGCTATATACTGTTAAAGTATTTTCTGCAATTTTACAATGATTTTATATTTTAATTAATTGAATTTTACTAGAATTGCAGTAGTGGTTGCATAACTTTATAAAGAAATGTGAAAATACTTGTAATAATTCTTGCTACAATTTTCGATAAGTGTTTATAAAATATGCATGAAAATTCTAATAAACTACGGCAAAATTTACTACAATGGTTCCCTGATTAGATTATGAATAATGCAAGTATAACTGTTGCAAAATTGATTCGACAAGTTTTTAGAAACTATTCGTGCAACTTGTAGCTGTCACTATATGTGTGTTTTTCTGCAGTGTTCTACTTTGCAATTAACATAATAACAACTGCAATTTTCTTTCAGTGTAGGTGGGTGTCAAAATAAAAATGAAAACCCTGTACACGTTTAACAACTCCCAAAATACTTTGGATATGTGTTCAAGATCATGTTAGGTAACATTGGAATCCTCGTTAGAAACCTTGCACGCCAAAAAATAAAATAAAAGCAAAAAGTTAAGAATAGTGAATAGTGTATATTTTTCTTATTAGTAACAGAAACATAAAAAACCTCTCTAATAAAATCCTTAAAACTAAAAAGAAGACATTTCTATTAATATTAACCTTCTGTAATACTGTTCATAAAATTGAACACTTTTTTTCGCGTTGCACACACTTTTTTAGATTTTGACCCAGCGTCGGGATGTATTTTCAGAATCATCCTCTGCAACAACTCCATGGTAGCGCATAGATTGCGAGGATACTTCAAATTTAAAATGAAAAATAAGGAGAATGACACTTTAAGAGCTTCTATGAATGTGGTATACCCATCGTGATGCACCAACTCTCTCTCTAGGTACACGAAGTAAAGCATGTTTTCTTCTTCTGAAAAGAAGACTGCTTACAGAAACTAGTCGGTAATGTGATGAAATGTGATAACCAATGAAAATATAACTAATTTGCAATTTTCACAATGCGTGGAATTCCCACATTACAATTAGCTAGTTAAGGATTACAGATAGAAAGAAATATTTTAACATTTATTATGGCCATGCAAACAACTTTCCATTTCAGAATGCTAATTATGTTTGGTTTATGGAAGCACCAACATTGAAAAAAAATGCATGACTAACTATACACTGTGTTCAAGATAAGGAGGGCCACTATGGGTACTTTAGAAACGGTAAAATATACAAATTTGGTTAAATGGGAGAATGGTTGCGCAATCAAAGGTATAAAAAAATAGCGTTTAGAAAACCCTGAAAATTTCTTTGGTTTTTGAAATATTTTGAAATAATCGGATTTTACAAACTATTCTTTTCTGGCGTTAATATTTGACTTAGAGCAAAACCAAGTACACTTCTCTACGCCAATTTTTAACGCTCTTTAAGATGGTGTTAATTTTTTAATCCGACGTTTCGTCTTTACGGAACCAACATCAACTTAATTTTTTTAAATACGGTCCTGATCTTCTAATATCATTTTCTTAATTCCCTTTTTAATCTGATGTCAATGAGTTACTAAACTTTATGGTTTAATTACGTTAATTCCTATTACAGACCTGTATTATAATTTTTTTTAAATAATTAGCTAGGGCAATTAACGTAAGTGAATTTAATGAGAAGCAGAAGATGCTATCTGTGTTTAGAAAATAATGAAAGTCTTTTGGAACATATGTTCTAAATTTAGTCGTTTTATTCAAATTTGTTCGTTGTGGTATTTTATTTCTTATATTTTCTGTTAATTCAATTTGATTTCTTAGTTAGTTCTGAGTTTGTTTTTTCTATTTATTTCACTCACGTTAATTAGCCTCCTAGTTAATTATTTATTTTTTTTAAAAATTGGTGCAGGTCGTAATAGGAATTTAGCCCGAAACAAAAGATTAAAGCGCAAT